GCGGTGAGCCCAGCATCCTCCTATGCCGCCATCTTCCCTCTCTCTCCTGTGTGCCATATTTTTTGAAATGCATCTGTGCCTGCATCTCAGAAAACAGTATACCTTGACTTAGTGCCAAAGAATCAAGTTCATCACTGTCACGTGAATCATGACGTGTTCTTCTTGGCCTAAGTTTGCATTGGACCAGATACTACTCAGTTGAGTAAAATGATATCTATTATGTCAAGCCTTCTGAAAGTGCCCATACTCTTTAAGATCATTTATTAAATTATTAAAAGTGCCTGTCACATTGTACAAGAAAATTTGCAAGAATATGGATGAATTGGAGGAGGATAGTATTTACTACTTGCTTTATTAAGTTTCTACTGTAGTATTCCTTTAAATAGCAAGTGTTTAATATATTATTTTCCAAAATTGCTTTTTTAGATAAATATGTGTGTTTCCTAAAGTTCGAATAATGGAATAACCTATACCCCATATTCTATGTAATGTTCAGATATATTTAAGCAGTCGATGCCTCTTCTTCTGTCCTCCAAACTTCCCCTATTCCCTAAAATGTCAAGATGAGTTTAACATACTGAGAAGATATTTACTTACCAGAAGAACTTAATCTTATATATTACATACTATACTGTATAATATAATATAATATAATATAATATAATATAATATAATGACCACACAGCCAAAAATTTTTATTCTGTCATCTCACTTTTGCCTGTATTTGTAGAGGCTTTGGAAATATACACACACACACATACACACACACACACACACACACACTCACTCAAGGGTTTATTAAGATAAAAGCTGATAGACAAACGTTTCATACTCTAAAAGTAGTTTAATGTGTCCTTTAAACTGCCTCTCAAACTGGGTGTTAATGCATGGGTCTTTAAGGACTTCTGTTCTTTACAATTTGTTTAAAAAATGAAACAAGGTTCATTGACTAATGCTGGACCTTGGTGATATAAGTAGACCCAATTGAGGTAGGCAGAAATTTGGAGAAAAAATGTGCCAATTTTTTTCCATTGCTGCTGGTTTCCATGGAAGATCTCTCTTGTGTTACTTGTCCACAGAAAATTAGAGAGGTCTGAGATTTGGTGGCAGGCTCTTGAAAACTGCTTTTTTGTGTCTTTAACCAAAAATTTTGTTACTCTGCTTTGGATGTGTATTGGAGATGAAAATCACCTCTAATGAAGTGTACTAAATGGGGTTTCCAGAACCCTCATCCAATGCTTCTATGTAGGCCATTTACTCATTCATGATTCCAAAACTCTCCTTAGTTTCCAGTCTGCCAAGGCACCTTTCAGTATGGTTTCAATAAATTTATCTGGTGCACTATCACAGAATTTGTTCCATTTCTGTCAGAATGCAGCTGATGTATCTGACTGGCTAGTACTTATAAGAAGCATTGTCCTGTGGTCTCTTCCTTTTCTTTTTCTACACACATCACTTTCCAGATCCCAGCCTTTAACGTTACTCTCTTACACAGTAAGCTCACTTAGGCCTTTTCTCTCTTGCTCGGGCACATACTGGAAAGCTCAAGACAGAAGCAGTAGATGCCACTTTCATATCCTCCTAGCAGATGAGTGCAAGCTCTCATTTTAGTTCTTTTTTCCTCGTCCCGTTTCATTAAGAGGCTGCTTGCAAAACTTGCAGTAGTGTTAGCCTAAGCAGTTTTAATATGGGATTCCTTACGGAGTGAGAAGAGGAACTGGGTTCTCTATTTAGAAGGAAAGGGAGGTAAAGTAGTAACTTGAATTTCCATAAAATGAAGTTGAAAATGGTTTCTTCTTGTCAGTTCTGTCAGTTCCTATTACTGGTTTGTGTTCTAGAAAGGTAAATCATACGAGTGAGACTATAATAACACCATATAATCCACTATTTATTGAATGTCTACTGTGTACCAGGCACTGAGCTAGACACTTTTTGCCATGTGCCTTATTTATTTTCTCAGCAGCCCTGTGAAATTTTATTAGTTCAATTTGAAGATAGAGGAATTAACCCTCTTTCTGACTGTGGTACTTACCAGTGTTCCCTGCTAGTTCAGCCTATCACCTTCCACCTGTGTTGTTCTGTTCACTTTATGAAATATCTTCCTAAATGCTATTTTAGAAGATCCCCATCATTTCCCTGTCAGGCAGTTATGGTAAGAGGAAAGAGTGCTGTATTTTGAGTTTCAAAAACTGGGTTTAAATCTGAGCTCTGTGGCCTAGTAGCTTTTTGACCCCAAGTAAGGTGTATAATGTTGCTTAATATAATTTTACTCATCAGAAAAATGACAAGAATAGTACTGTAGTTCATAAAAATTTCTGGAGCACTAATTCTTCACTAGGTGCTAGAGAGATAAAGATAAATAAAATGTCCATCCCCTTGAGTTCTCAGTCAATTGGGGAAAGAAATAATGCAGAAAACACATAGTGAACAGTGTGCGGGATTGAGAAGAATTTTGGAGGAAATGAAAGCTGAACTGCAGTTTGTAGAACAATTAAGAGTTTTTCCAGGCAAAGAATATAGATAAAGTCATTTCAGGTGGAGGAAACATTATTTGCAGTTATGGAGCCATGAAAGACTATGACATATGTGTGAAATGAGAGTACTTATGCATGGATGGGGCATAAAACAGATTGGGGTGGCTAGAAGTAAACCTGAAGTAGTAAGCAGGGTGTAGGCCAAGGAGCCATGATGCCTCTGAACCTGAGGGAGATGAGTTTAAAGAGGGAGGGTCAGTATATGATACTGTTAATCACTGTCCTCTTGAAAGGCTAGTAATGTTTGATACCCTCAGTACTGGGGCAAGGAAGGCAGATTGAAGGATGAATTCAGGGTTGAGTTTTTATAGTGTGGGAGCAGCAAAAAGGCCTGAAAGGGGGTTGAGTGTGCCAGTGAGAAAGAATTCTTTTTTGATCAGCTGGATCAACTCTATGGTCCAGTTTGGAGGGCAGAGTACCTAAACACAGACCTGGCATTTGGGAAGTGTTTTTGACTTGGTGGGAACAAGGTGGTTAGTTAGCATTATCCCTATTTATAGATTGTGAAGTTAAGATTCAGTGACACAAATGATTTGCTCTGGGTTGCAAGCTACTAAATGGTATAACTGGGATGGACTTCCTAGTTTATTGCTATTTCCACTATCACTATACCGACTCGAGTGACTTTAGGTAAGTCATTTTATCTCTCTGAGCTTCAGTTCTTTCTAAGGATTGTTGTGAGGAAAGTTGGTTTGAAGACACCTAGCATAATATGTGGCACATAGTAGGTAATGGATAAATGTTACTTCTCTTTCTTATACTACATTGCCTCTATTGAGATAATAGAGGGAAACCGAACAATATGGGACTGGGGGATTTTAATCTGTGAACAGAGTGGATTTCAGTGGCCTTATTAAGTATCCATAAAACTAAGGGGGCTACACTATTCTTCATGTATGAAATAACAAATGCACTTTGAGAAATAACTCAAATTTGCTTACTCCATGATCTATCTTTGGAGAGATTGCTTTCGTGATTCCTGTCTTCCTGAAGAGCCTGGAGGTGGGGAATGAAAATGTTTGCCTTCTCTCCTCTATCTGCCAATTTAATGGAAGGAGGGTTTCATAAAGCCACTTCCTACCTTATTTGGTACACTTAATGCCTTTTGGTCAGCCGATTTCTCCAATACTCCCCTTATGTTAATGTGTATTGAGCTTTCTATTTAATCTACCATGCTTGGAAAAGAATAGTCATCTACCCTGAGAATTTTCTCCTGGTCTCAGCCATTAATTATTGGAGCAGGAAGAAACCATCTGCCGCCTTTCTGCAACTACTGTTCTCAGTGAGATGACACATTGCTCCTGCTACCCTGACAGATGCCTTCCAAGTGACCCTGAGGATAATTAAGGAGGCAGAATAAGCCTCTGTGCATTTTTTTTCAAATTGGCTATTAATCCTTCTCTTATAGCAGGGGCCCTTGGACTTAACGCTGAAGTACTGCGTGAGGAGGAAGACAGAGTCTATCGACAAAAGGTTCTGTTTTGATATAGAAACTAATGAAAGGTAAGCTGTGATCGTATGAATTGGCAATGTCCCCATGTGACAGATACTGAGACTGAGTAGATCTTTTATTTTCCTTTGTCATCTCTTATTGATGAAAGTGAGAAAATCTGTTCATGACATCATTGTCTTGGCTCTTCTGGCTGCCATTCGGAGGAATCCCTGTTAGACCTGGCCCAGAGCTGTTTCCCTCTGGGGAAACTTCAATCAGCTTCACCTCACCTACTCTAGGAAGAATAAATCACTCCTAGGATTTAATTTGCTATCAGATATGCAGAGGGCAATATTTGGTGATGCTGCAAGAACAGCATACAAAAATTCATTTTTTAAAAATTTTTTTGTAGTTTGAAGTTTTTATTTAAATTCCAGTTAGTTAACATATAGTATAATATTAGTTTCAGGAGTAGAATTTAGTGATTCATCATCACTTATATACAACACCCAGTGCTTAACATAACAAGTACCCTCCTTAATACCATCACCCAATTAACCCATTCCCTGTGCCCACCTCCCCTCCAGCAACCCTCAGTTTGTTGTCTATAGTTAAGATTCTTGTTTTATGGTTTGCCTCTCTCTTTTCCCCCATCCCATATGTTCATTTGTTTTGTTTCTTATATTCCACATATGAGTGAAATCATGTGGTATTTGTCTTTCAATGACTTATCTTGCTTAGCATAATACAATCTAGCTCCATTCATATTATTGCAGTTAGCAAGATTTCATTCTTTTTGGTGGCTGAGTAATATTTCATTGTGTGTGTGTGTGTATTACACACACACACACACACACACACACACACACACACCACAACCTCTTTATTCATTTGGGCTCTTTCCATACTTTGGCTATTGTAGATAATGCTGCTATGAACATTGGGATGCATGTATCCCTTCAAATCTGTATTTTTGTATCCTTTGGGTAAATACCTAGTAGTGCAATTTCTGGGTGATAGGGTAGCTCTATTTTTAACTTTTTGAGGAACTTCCATACTGTTTTCCAGAGTGGCTGCACCAGTTTGCATTCCCACCAACAGGGCAACAGGGTTCCCATTTCTCCACATCCTTGACAACACTTGTTGTTTCCCATGTTGTTAATTTTAGCCATTCCAATAGGTGTGAGGTGATATCTCATTGTGCTTTTGATTAGTATTTCCCTGACGATGAGTGATGTTGAGCATCTTTTCATGTGTCTGTTAGCCATCTGGATGTCTTCTTTAGAAAAATGTTTATTCATGACTTCTGCCCATTTTTTAACTGGAGCATTTTTTTTTGGGTTTTGAGTTTGATAAGCTCTTTATAGATTTGGATACTAATCCTTTATCAGATATATCATTTGCAAATGTCTTAGCCCATTTAGCAAAACTCATTCTTTTATCTCCTAATATAACATACAGGAACAAGTGAATTGGAACACATTTTTAATGAGAGATAGAAGGAATGGAGGATGGTAGTGGTATTGAAGAGTCTTTTCTCCATACTTGGTGCAAACATAATACAGACTTTCCCTACTTTGCAGATATTTTTGTAAACTGGAGATAGTTTGATTATCAACCTTCTGATTTCAGTAAGGCTTTCAAACTTTGTTCATTTGTTTTTCTCCATTACCCTCTTTTCATTTTCTGGATCTTGGTAGTTTTATCAGAGGGAAATTTAATATTGAAATTTTAGAATGAGAGCATTTGGAGTCATTTTGGCGAAAAGCATGTTGTATAGTTGGGAAGTTGATCTAAAATTCAGTGAATAAATATTTCTATGTGTTATTTTGGTCTATTATTTCTATGTTTTTGTTACTGCTTAATAGAATAGAATTTAACAAAATGGTCAGATTCCTATAAGGGGGCTTGAAGTTTGAATTACAGTGTCATATGAACAAAATTATCAGTGACTGGAATCATAAAGATTAGACTAAGAGATGAGGGCTCTTTTTTTCAGTCTGGAAAAAAGTAGGAAGTCCTTTTCCCCATTTGAAATTTCTGTTTTTTAATCTATGTGATTTCTTTCTTAAAAATGGATAGTCCTGACCAAAGATGGTTGTGATAGTAAACATTGTTACTGGTAACCATAAGGCTGTCACTCATTTTTCCAAAAGCTTCAGGCCTAGTTGGAAGGGGGAACTATACTATTTATTGGGGAAAATGACTATTGGCTGTGGCTTCTCTTTCATGAACTTTTAGTCTCTGGCTCTGCAACATCAAGGTGCTTAAAAGAAATTAAATGTTTTTATGTGTGTCTAGTTTCATTCTGATTCCCCTTTCAGCTTAAATTTGCAAGCTGCTTGCAAATAATATTCCCATATACCCAAAGCAGTTGCAGACAGTTTGGCCCTGAGGTTAGGGGCTGGGACCAGTTTATCTTCATATATCTTGTACCTAGTACTATGCATGGCTCATGGTAGGTACAACATTTGGTGTTTATTTTTAAATGTATTTTCCCCCTCCTAACACTAAGGAATTCTTAGACTAGAACCCAGGAATTAAAGTTTTGATGTGTCTGTGATTTAAGTTACCACATATTAGGCACATAAAAACCATTCAGTCATTGAATCCCTCCCCTATTTTACAGGTGGAGGAAACTGAGACTTGACTACATTAAGTGACTTGCCCAAAGTCACATAGTGGCAAGGCTGAGCTCAAACACTTCTTTAGAGGTTTACAAAGTCCATGTTGTTTTTAATTTTGCTACATCATCTTAGAATGAGAATAAATATGCTGTGAAATAAAGGATCAAATAAAATAATGAACAGGTGATGAGGTACATGTGTATACATGGAGTTATCTGAGGGATGTGACATCTGCTTTACTGGCTAGTAAATCTGATATAAAAAACAAAGTCAGACTTCCCAGCAGGCATTGGGTACCTGTACTCATGTCCCTGAAGCACAGAGAGCAAAGAGCTCTTTGAGTCCCTTTTTCTATCTAAGGAATAGAGGATAACTTTTTTCTTTAATTAGCTTTGCTGCCAGTATTTGAAACCACAGACTTATAGCTCATAGAGCTTGAAGTGCAATAATAATAATAACAATAACAAACAACAACTGCTAACATTTGCAGAGTAACTTCTATGTGCCAGGTACCATTCTCAGCCCTTGAAATTGTATAATTTCCTTTATTCTTCACTACAGTCATATGAGGTGACTGTATTTCGCAATTTCACAAAGGAAGACAAGGAGACAGAGAGAAATTAAGCAACTTAGGTAACACTGCTAGCAAACGGTAGAGCCAGGATTGGAATCCAGGAATTTTAGTCTCCAAGCCCACACTCAACCATTACACTGTACTGCACATATGCTGTATATGCCTTTTTGTTCCAGATTGAGTGACTGGGACCTTGGTGAGGGCAAGGGATTTGTCTTAGATAATGGAAGAGCCTGGACTAGAAGTCAATGTTCTTTCTACTTTGTCATCCTGTTCTTATGAGTATTCTTTGAATTTGACTTTCTGTAGCACCTAAGAATCTTCAAATGCTTCTTTTTTTTTTTTTAATTTTTTTTTAACGTTTACTTATTTTGAGACAGAGAGAGACAGAGCATGAATGGGGGAGGGGCAGAGAGAGAGGGAGACACAGAATC